CAGGCGGAACGCCTATAGCCATAGCAGCCCAGGCAGCTGCTATGGGGCCTGGGGGGGTGGGAGGGGGCCCCTTTAGGTTGTTGAGGCAAATTAAGCTTAGAACATGTGAAGATAACAGAGTATTGTATCATTAAGGGTTGAAGTGGTTGCAGTTGGAGACAAATCTAATCCCCTGTAAAGTCTACAGCGTCGAGATGACTTCGGATGCACAAAAGGAAACTTTGGGATCTTGGCATCATTACTTACAGCTCAGAGAGAGAGGTCGTCGGGGGCATCACATTTATGCTATGGGGCCCCGTGATCTGTAGTTACGTTACGTGGGTATCAACTTTCAAACTGGTTTTAGATCAGTTGCCTTTTACCTTTGTAGGTTTTGTTACATTTATAAACCCGACTTGTTCTGTTAAATAGAACAAGCTTTGTGCTGGTAGCCCGCACTGCCACCAGACGGCGCCCTTCCCATTCAGATCTTTTACAGTGCACTTGACACGTCCTTTGCACTGCACCTCCATGTATAACATTTGTATCATGTGTGTTTTCTGGATGTTTGGTTGATATTCTGTCTCTATCATTTAAAATACACCCATGATCAAAATTATAGACCCTTAATTTCATTGTAAGTGGGCAAACTTACCAAATCTGCAGGGGATCAAATCATGGTTTTCCTCACTGTACTGTATATATAGCACACACACACACTGTATATGTATAAAACAAAACATTTTCATATTTAAAGCAGAACTCCAGCCAAAAATAACACAATCAAATAAAACAAAACTGCTTTTGCTCCAACACTCACCTTCGGGGCCTGTTCACACCATATGCAGTGGGTTCCGGCCACGTTCTGGCCGGAACGCACTGCATCGCATTGCGGCCGGCTCAGTATTTTGTGGGGTCGTGGCTGGCCATTGAAGTGAATGGCGCTTCAGCCACGCCTTCCGGCGGCAATGCACTCCGGCCGGAACGCACTGCATATGGTGTGAACAGGCCCTAAATCCAGAGATTCCCCCTGCAGTACTTTTTTCTGTCACTAGATGTCCTCAGTCTGATGGCCAACATCATTTGAGCCACTTCCTCTGAGTCCAGGTCATCCTGGGACCACCTCCAGCCTGTGACTGGATGGTGAAAGGCGAAGCAGCACACCAATGAGCTCATATCTCTTTTGCTCAGCTCTCTCCTCCTATCAACATGTTTCTTGTCAGCACAGGTCTGTAACTGGAAAGTGAAAGGAGAAGCAGCACAGTGATGAGCTCATCTCTCTGTCACTCTGCTCTCTCCTCCTATCATTATGCTTCTTGTTTAAACAGGTCTGTGGCTGGACAGTGAAAGGAGAAACAGCGCAGTGATAAGCTCAACTCTCTGTCACTCTGCTCTCTCCTCCTATCAGCATGCTACTTGTTAGCACATGAACTGATTGGCTCCTTGTGCTGCTCCTTCCTCTCACACTCCAGCCCTGCTGTATAGGAACTGCACAAGGCTGATACCAGGTCACGTTCAGTTACTTACACTGCTTGTATTACTGGCGTATCAATGAATACAGAGCTGAATACAATACAAATTCATCATTTGTGTATTTTATATCTTCCTGGAGTTCAAATCTAACACACAGAAAGGCAGCAAATACAGTTTACATTCACTTCAATTAGCGTACAGACCCAGAACACAGACCGCCACTTCGATGTGCGTCTTTGTTTTTACCAACACCAGGGGACTATAAATGTCAGAGTTCGTACACAAGTGAGATGGTGTCTGGGACCCGCTCCTCCGATAGTGACACAGATCCCGCCGCCGCCACACCTCGCATACAACGCGTAAACAGCGGCTTATCTCTGGCCGGTATGATAACGCGTCCTCCTCCGTCTATCAGCGTGTGACACGCGAGGAGCGCAGGATAAGATGTACAGTTGTGGTCGCTGTTTGTTCTCGTTCGGCAGACGCGGTGTTCGCCTTCCAGGTTCTTTGACGTTAATCTTTGTTTTGGACTCCTTGCAGGCGATCGCCGATGACCAACCATCCGCAGATCAACCGCGTCAATATACAAGGTCAGTAATCGCAGCGATTTCCTTCTCCCTCTGTCTGCGGCTCCGCGTGTTTCTGCTTTTTATGTGATGAAAGTAGAACAATGTATAACAATGTATATCAATGTATAACAATCTATAACAATGTACAGTATATCAATCTGCATCAATGTATATCAATGTATAACAATGTACAGTACAGTAATACCTTGGTTTACGAGCATAATTTGTTTGCTTGTAATTAGGGCTGTGCAAATTAACGATTCATTTCTCGATTAATCGTTAATCTTTTTGATCGATTATAAAATTTTTGATCGATTACAAATTTTTTGAAACTTTCAGCACGAGCGCCAGCCAAGGCATTGGCCTATACACATACAGCACAGCAATGAAGTAATAAAATGAACTAGGATCACACTAATCCAGCACGTTATTATTCTGAGTTGCCCCACTCAAGAGGCGGCCATATTGAGTGGGGCACCTGAGATTAATAACGTGCTGGATTAGTGTGATCCTAGTTCATTGTATTACTTCATTGCTGTGCTGTATGTGTATAGGCCAATGTAGTTGGATCTGTATGTGCGTTATAATTAATCGAAATTAATCGATTAAAAAGAATTTCGATTAATCAAACACAAAAATTTTAATCAGTAACAGCCCTACTTGTAATACAAAGCGCTTGTATATCAAAGCGAATTTCCCGATAGGAAATAATGGAAATTCAGATGATTCGTTCCACAAATATATTCATATAAAAATGATTACAATACTTTACTGTAATATAATACTGTACAAAATATAAAGAAAAATAAGCCAATTACCGGTACCTTCGTGGCTGGTGTGAGGGGGACGAGAGAGAGGAGGATTATTGTGTAGGACGACTTTCACCATCACTAACGGAATCACTGCAATCTCTTGATTTAATGGAATCTTTTTCATTTCGTGAATCCTTAAAGGAGAACTATGAGGTGGGTGCTTTTCACTCACCTCATAGTTCTAGCCGACCTGTGACAATGAGACTGTCACAGGTCGGCTCAGTAGATCGGGAGGTGAGCGAACACATACCGGCATTCGCTCACCTCACGATCCTGTCACGGCTCTCTGTTGTGACAGGGGAGGGGCTGGATTCCCCTCTCCCTGCTCCGATCTGCCAGCACTCACTGGCGGATCGGACGGGGGAGGGGGCGGGTACAGCTGGCTCTGCCTTTAGATAGGCAGAGCCAGCTGTCAGTCACGCAGCTGGGCGGATCCAGACACAATTGTCGGGATCCGCTTCAGCTGCGGCGCCTCAGTAAACTCGCGGTATACTGAGCCTAGGGTGACGGGAGGACGCTAGTTTGTGTCCTCCCGTTACCCTAAGGAGAACTATGGGGGAAAGACTTAACCCCATAGTTCTCCTTTAACAAGGAATCTATCCAATGTGACACTGCATTGTCGTTAAACAGACTCATCGCTCGCACTGCTACAGCCTTATTCGGTGGTGGTTTTCTACAAACATTTTTGTATATCAAGGCAAAATCTTTCAGAAATGTTTGCTTGTCTTGCAAAACACTCTCAAACCAAGTTACTTGTAAACCAAGGTATTACTGTATATCAATCTGTATCAATTTATAATGTATACCCATGTATCTCAAAGTATAACAATTTGTATCAACTAGGGATGCCCTGATACCGTTATTTCGGTATCGAGTACGAGTACCGATGTTTATTTTTTTTACGGTACTCTCCGATACTGAATACCAAGTACAGGAAGTCCCATTCAGGAAGCCAAGCGGCATGTAACGACTTGCCACCTGGCCTCCTGATTAGCCTTCGAAGCCAGTGTTCTATCAAAGTTTGTGACTGCGTTAGAATGTGTGACCGGTCACGTGGTCACACATTTTAACGTAGTCACGTCCATTTTTTTTCTGGGGTTAAAATATGTGACCGGCAAAAGGTGTAGAATTCAACGCTTTCTTAGCTGTTCCCTGGCAGATCGGCATCGCAGATGGTATGTGCGGGAGAACCGATCTGCCAGGGAACAGCTGATCGGTCCTGAAATGTCACTTCTATCCGACTTTGTGCCTGCAATCTCACATTTCACAAAGTCCGATAGAAGTTACATGAGGTGATGAGGGAGCATGGAGCCAGCTTCCCGGCCAATCAGGAAGCCAGGCACTGTGTAATGAAGTGCTGCCCGGCTTCCTGATACCGGAAGTATCGGGCTAGTATTTGGGCGAGTACTCGCCCAAATACTCGGCATTGGCACTGATAACGATACTAGTAATTTGAGAACACCCCTCTATATATATTTGTTATGTGTTCCTATTCACACAGTGACGTCACAAAAGGGGTGTGGGGGGTGCAGCCCGCACCCGGGTAACACCAAAAAGACTCACAGTCATTTTGGTGTCACCCCCCTCTGAAAAGTCGGGCACTCATGGAGTATCAGGAGAGAGGAGGGGACCCGGCGGCATACCTTATCCCACCGGGTCATTGTCCCCTCCTCTCTCTGCCGGCGTCCATCACCAAGATGGCCGCCAGCAGGTATCAGAATACTGCTGCGCGTGCGCGATGACGTCATCGTGCACGTGCGTGGTGACGTCACGCGCATGCGCAGTGACGTCTCGGCGGGGTGACACTTGGTTACCGCTCCGGGTGTCACCCAGCCTCAGGACGCCCCTGTATTCACACAACATAACAAAAATTATTTTGAAAAGATATTGCCTACCTTTCAGATGTCTCTGTGTAGCCGGAGCCTCAGCAGGCTTTTCTCTCAACGGAGAACAACTTTTCTTCAGAACTGAGCAGGTATTGTGCGAGCCATTAAAAAAAAGAATATCGATACACCGATACCAGGGCCGTCTGTATTGCGGGGGAAAAGGGGCAGTTGCCCCCGGGCCTAGTCATTGTTGTGGGGCCCAAAGCAGCTGCCCCTTGAGCCAGCAAAAGATACACACGTGGCATTGTTCTGTGTACTAGGCAATTGGCATCGCATGCTGTTGCTCCGCCCCTGCCGTACGCCGCGTAGCGTGACCATGCAAAGTCTCGTGTGGGGTCTTGTCTCCCTCTAACATCTCCACCTATCTGCTCTGCAGGTGCGGAGCGGGTAGGGGGATGGGACGGGGCTTGGCAGATCGGGGCGGGCAGGGGGCCCACAAAAATGTTTGCCCAGGGTCCAATCAATATTAAAGATGGCCCTGAGCGATACAGGTACTTCCGCTAGTATGGAGCCAACGTTCTGGGCAATTAGGAAGCCGGCGGTTGGTAAAGACACACCGCCCGGCTTCTTGATTGCCCCAGAAGCCGGCTCCAAGCTGTTTGGCCGGCTCGATGCTGATTGGCCAGGCAGCATTTTGCCTTCCCCCTCATTTTCTGTCAGCAGGACAAATAGAGAAGATGAATCTCCCTAGACAGCAATGAAACCTGGCAGAGGTTCTAACTCTTTTCTAGTGCAATCTGTTGGCTTAGGAGTCACTTTAAAGGATTAGTAGACTGCTTAGTAACATTTGCATGTAGCCGGATCTTATCAAAACAAAAATCCCATAAATAAAGTTCTGATCGTAGGGAAGATATTTTTATATACACAGCTGACTTCCTGTCTTGTCATTCTAATGTAGCATGTTGCAAGAGGTCTACAGTGAGCCTTCTTCAAAGGAGAACTATGGGGTCAGGGCTTTTCCCCATAGTTCTCCTTAGGGTAACGGGAGGACACAAACTAGTGTCCTCCTGTCACCCTAGGCTCAATATACCGCGAGCTATAGCTCGCGGTATACTGAGACGCCGCAGCCAGAGCGGAATCCCGACATCGATGTCTGGATCCGCCCAGCTGCGTGAGTGACAGCTGGCTCTGCCTATCTAGAGGCAGAGCCAGCTGTACCCGCCCCCTCCCCCGTCCGTTCCGCCAGTCAGCGCTGGCGGATCGGAGCGGGGAGGGGGGAATCCAGCCCCTCCCCTGTCATGGCAGAGAGCCGTGACAGGATCGGGAGGTGAGCGAAACCGGGCTGTGTTCGCTCACCAGCCAGTCAGCGCTGGCGGATCGGAGCGGGGAGGGGGGAATCCAGCCCCTCCCCTGTCATGGCAGAGAGCCGTGACAGGATCGAGAGGTGAGCGAACCCGGTATGTGTTCGCTCACCTCCCGATCTACTGAGCCGACCTGTGACAGTCTCTGACAGAAAAGCACTCACCTCATAGTTCTCCTTTAAGCTTCAATGGCTGGCCGCACATAGGGTTGCCAGCTGTCCGGGATTCACCCTGACAGCCCGGGTTTTGAATGGTGTGTCCGGGTTTCATGGCAGCTGAAACCTGGACACAAGATGTCAGGCAGACAGGGGCAACCAAAATTAAGATAGTGGCTACTGTCCCCCCACTGAAAATAGTCCCGACTGTAAATGGATGACGCTATTTACATATGAATAAGCCGCGACTCATTCTCCCCCAAAAAATATTCCGTGCGTCGCTAGAGTGTTCGGGTTTTCGATGGAAGAAAAGGTGGCAACCCTAACCGCACAGCAATATAACATCAGTAGACTGAGCACGCTGGGACTTGAAGTCCAGCAGGTCGAGGTTCATCTGTTGCCTGCAGCTTGTAAATGACATGCCTAGGTAAGATGTCACATGTCACGCTCTGCTGACGTACCAGTCACTGTAACCTATACATGACATGCAAACATGTGTCCTGGGGCTGCGACTTATCAGATGTGAAGCAATTTGCTCACGTTTAAGGTTTGTCAGATTGCAGCCTCTAACTGTTGACCATGAGTCTTGGAGCTACTCGCATACTTACCTCGGAAGAATGAAAGGCTGACCCTAGCCAGGATGTTATTTCCCATTGGAGGGGGCAGCCTGGAGCCTCTATCAGGCCTTGTTCACATCAAATGCAGACCAGATCCGGTCAGGTTTCTGCACACGCAGTGCAGTGGGTTGTGCCGCGTTTTAGACGCGTTTTGGATGCGTTTTTGATGCGTTTAGGCTTCTTTTTGCTCCATTATTCTGCAGATGGGGAGGAGCTCTGGATTGCGCCATGTGTATAAGATTTTGTATTG